TATTGATATTTGTTTGAAGTCGATTGATCTAAGTCGATTCACATTTAGATATATATCACATATTTTATTTCATCCAATTTCATGTTCATAGTCTTTTATAATTGTTCAATAAAATATCCAATATTTTCGATATTCTATATATAGACAACAAGATGTTCAATATTTTAAAATGAAATCCAATGGAAAATTGAAAAACTAATAAATAAAATATATAACAAAACTATACCCATCTCAATCGTTTTGCATAATTATATCATACACCATAAGCCCAGTCACAGATGTTAACTATTTCATTTTAATCACACTTTTTATATGAGACTTAGCAAATTAAAAAGAATCACACACTCAAACAAACTAAAAACTCCAACTGCAAAAACTTAAATGAAATTTTCTTAAGTATGCATTTCGTTTCTTTTATTCGCCTGCTGACTTCATTTAGATGTGTTTTTTTGCGTTCGAGTAACTTTTATCCTTCAGAAATGGCATTAAACAAACAAACAAAACTCTAATAAAACAAATGGCAATTTTTTTTAATAAAATTGCTAATGACTAAACAACTCCTTTGTTGTTTTCTTTCAAAAACACAGAACAGGAACGGATATTTAGAAAAACAATTTCAACTTTTTAATTTTGTTTGGATACCAGGAAACCCGCACATTGAAGAAACTCTCAAACGATATCAAACACTCATTTAAATATTAAAGAGTTTCTTTGTAAACATCAGTGCTTGGGAAAAATGAAATCTCGAGATTATCCCTCAGTTATTCATGCAGAACGCAACGAGTCCATAACATATTATAAGCTTATTATTGTTATATAATGAAATAATTATTTACGCATAAGTAAATATAAACATTATATATAATCATCGTCATCATCGGGATCATAATATGTATATAAAAACAGAAAAATACTTGCGATTTCATGAGGTTACTTAAAGGCATAAGTTGCTTGAATATAGTCGCAAACATTGGAAATTGATTGATAATGTATTTAATATTATAGGAATATCAAATAATATTCAATGTGGGGGTGGACAAAAAAAAGGATTGAAATTTTTATATATGTTACACCAGATTTAAATGGAATGATTCAAATTTGAAATTAGACAAATACGGAATTTAAGGGGACGCCCCATTTTCGATTTCAAATATCGACAATTTTCAACCTACTATATTATGTTGAAGAGTTGTAACTCATGATGACAATGTATTGACAAAATGTTGTTGTTGTGGTTTTTGTAATTCACAAATAGTTATTGTTTTCGATGAAAGGCGTGGTTTCTTCGAACATTCGACTGCCAAAATTATTAGTAAGAGTATATGTCTGGCTCTTGTATGAACGGAAGATATTAATTTAGCTCAAAAATGAACAACATGATGGACCTAGGAAAAATATTTGGGGCAAAATAACGTATTTTCGACCACGTACCAAGCTAGGAAACTAGGAAGAGCTTATGGATGGGATGTATGTTAGTTCAAACGATATGTATGTACGTTTAGCATAAGGTGCTAAAATTTCGAACCAATTGGATTTATAGATTTAGAGTTATGATGACCGTCAATTGTGAAAACACTGTTCCAGGAAAAAATATGCAGTACTGTTGAGAGACCGCTGAAATTGAACTTGAAATTTTATTCAAACAAATCAAAAAAAAATTTCGAATTTTCGAAACCGTAAATGACAGAACCCGCAACCAATTTCTAGTTCCTTCAAAATTTTGTTTTTATACCCTCCACCATAGTATGGAGGGTATATTAATTTTGCCATTCCGTTTGTAACTCATCGAAATATTAATTTCCGACCCTACAAAGTATATATATTCTTGATCAGGGTAAAATTCTAAGACGATCTAGCCATGTCCGTCCGTCCGTCTGTCCGTCTGTAGTAATTACGCTATCTTCTGAAGAATTGAGATAGGGTGCTGAAATTTTGCATAGGTTTGTCTTTTGTCTGCAGGCAGGTCAAGTTCGAAGATGGGATATATCGGTCCACGTTTAGGCATAGCTCCCATATTTAGGCATTTTGGGGGTTTTGATCGTATTTTTCCACCGAATTGGCTGTAATTTAGTATTTTGAGTTCCTAATAGGTACCAAATTTCTCCACAAAAATTTTTAATTATATGTTAATTTTTTCGGATAGACCCCATATAAGGGTACCACCAATTTTCGGTATTTTGGAGTTCTTGAGCGCGTTATTCAACCGAATTCGCCGCAATTTGGTATGTTGTAGTCGTATATGGTAACACATCTCCCTACCAAAAATGTTTAATATTCGCCACCTTTTTGGGGTCATCCCCATATAATCCCCTTTTTATATTAAAATAGTTATATGATTTTTTCCGTGTTTGGGTTTAGTTCTAAGACTCTGTTGTAGTCATTTTATCTGCGGAAGATACGAAAAAAAGCTAGAACATAAGATTTGATAATTTAACTTATATATATATATATATATATATATATATGAACTGTATATATGGGGTACCAGAGGGAGTGGACCGATATTCCCCATGTTCGAACTTGAAGTAATTTTGGAAGAAATAATAAGATGGGCAAAGTTTTAATTTAATTTCATCTTTATTTACTTTGTAATTGAAATCAAAAATTTTTGAAACAAATTTGGTCCAAAGAAACATGGGGTCTAGGGCAAATATTTAGAATCATAATCGGTTTGTAAGAATGTTGGTATAGGTACACATTTTGGTATGTTTCCTATATTTTTATTTCAAGTACCTGTCAGTATGTCTATGGTGGAGGGTATCTAAAATTCGGCCCTCTGATTGCATATCGGTGCCCCGAGTTCATTACAAAAAGATAATGGCGAATCCTGTGTGGTCGAAACTTGGCAGATTTAGTAAAATTATCGACTATATAAGTCTAGTACCTCCATCATAATTAAATAAGGACTGACATATATTAGGCTGGGGAAAAATAAATCCATTATTTTCATACGAATTATTGGACTTTATTTATCATGTCCGATTTGGACCAAATATGCACCGTTTTGTTGTATGATTTGTTGCAATTTTAAAGGTAACTTCATAATGCCTCTTTCATAGAAGTCGTGCTCTCTATTTGCAAAAAACTCTAGTAGTCGATTTTCACAATCCTCCCTAGATACCAATTTGTATCATTAAAGAAGTTTTTCAATGGCAGGAAAATGTGATAATTACTTGTCCGAGTCCGAGTCCGGACTGTATGGCGAATGCATTAAAACTTCCCAATAAAGCTCCCGAAGTTTCTGACGAGTCACTGTAGATGAGTGTGGCCTAGCGTTTTCCTATTTTTTCTGTTAATTGGTGTTGGACCCAAACATCGAGCTTGTTTTTGAATCCAGCTTTGTGTAAATAGTTTAAAACAGTTTTATGGTCGATTTTTTGTTCCTGAGCGATGTTGCGTCTGCTAACATATTTTTAAGGTTTTAGATGCCCATAGAAGTGACATTAACTTAATTTCGGGTATTTGAAATCCTTGGAGGATGAAAAACATCTTTGTCTCCATACCTTTTGTTCTATTTTCGGTATTAATTTGATACAATTGATTCCTAGTGAACAAAATTTTCGTTGCAGAAATAATTCAATATAGATGCATGTTTTTAAATAGACCCCATAAAAACGTCCCGCTTAATTGTAATTGTTTTGAAATTCCTATCCCAGTTTCCCAACCTGAGTGCCAGTCATTTGTAACATTATTCCAGTCCAGAGCATAAACAATCTACTACCCTTCAATGAAATAACATAGTTTCCATGTATGGGCGGAGGGAACACAAATTATGGCACGGCCGAACTAAACAAATTATTTAGTTGTTTCTTGATTTGCGGGAATAAAAAAATCATTGGGCGCCGCGTTTTGGTTGGTCAAAAACCGCTGATCTGAGCTGATGTGTGAGAGTTAGAATTGTCATAGTGCATAATGATTCGTATTCAATTGCTAGTTTTTCCAATTTCTCCAAAGGCTTGGGGTAACCAAATTGCAGTGTAGCACTTTAAATTGACCTTCTACTTGCTCATGCGGAACAGTCGTCGGCGTGATTTTTTCCGGTTCGGGCTTATACCCATTTTCAACGCTTTGATTATAAATTATAATTGACAGACGGATGGACGGACACACATAGATAGATCGATTCAACTTGTCAAGATATAACTATCGGTATAATAAAACGTGGGTATATAACCAACTTTCACTGCTTTTATAAACTTGTGGGTTTGAGTAAAAACCGGCCAGAATTCAATAACAACAATTGTTGGATGGATCTCGAGTGATATGGAAATAGTGACCTCTAGAGTTTTTTTTTTTTTAATTTTGTTTTATCCATATCCCTGAAGTTGCACCACATGCTCGTCAATGTATAAAAACTGGCAACATTTTCATTCATATGGGTTTTGGAACATTTGCAATTGCAGGCAATCAGACTCACCGACTACAATCCCTATAATTTATTTTTTTATGCGACGTTAAACATATTTGTATCATTTAAACCTTTCGCTTAAACTTGGCCTCCAAATAAAAATTTATTTTACAGCGAAATCAGTTCTTCTACTTTTTTGCTTTTCTTTTTTCGGGTTGTTTCATAATTTGGTACCCAATTGTTTTGTTTATGACCATAATAAATTTAAAGTAATTGTTTCAAGAATCCTTTTTGTTGTTGTTGTGCACGTTGTATTCGTTTTGGCCAAAAGAACTCTTCTCTACGCTGGTTGCCTAATAAACTACATAATTTTGTTAGGATTTGGCTGGCAGTGATTTTCTTCTTTAGGTTTCTGGGTTGCCTTACAAATTGTAAGATGGTGTCCTGCGAACCTTAGATTGGGTCATAAGAAATTTAAATAAAAATCTAAGGAAAAATACTTTATTTTATAACATAGTAGACCATTAATAAACTTATCTTGCAATAAATTACTTACAATAAATTTGTTATTGTCGTTGTTTTTGTCCAATAAAAACAATAACGACGACAAGGAAAATAATGTAAAGAACATAGAAAAGGACATTTTACTTACCACTGGCAGCATTTTCAAAAATCCCAATAAAAATATGACCATTATACTCGACGTCGAAACACAAAATTGCATTTTCAAAAATGTTATGGCACACTGGCGATTAAACCAAATGGGCAACAAAATAATAAAGGCCGAGCACGATTGCAGCAAACAGCAGACACAGCTAATGATCACAAACATGGGACGTGGCGGGGTATTCAAATGATGGGACTGCAAAAAGAGAGAGGGGGAGAAAAAATAAATATATAAGATATTTACAACAATTGATTGTTGTTTTTGTAGGGAGAATACAATTTCGATTTACTTGAATATTGAATAACAAAATGCAATTTATATCAATAAGCTATAATAAATGTGATTTATATTAGGTATGCTCAAAACTAGTATATTTTGGAAGTAATGCAAGAGGTAGCAAGGGAATACAATTTAAGTACAATTTTTTCATAATAGCCTTGAAAAAATATTTAAAAAAAATCACGCTTGTCTATAGTCCATAAAATTTTTTTTTGAAAATCCATGTATGTCTTATAATTTGTTTAAGAGAACCTCCCCCCCATTCACGATGTTAATTTTTCAAGATTTTCAATGGGCTGGTAAATCAATACCAATGCTTGTTAAGGTTTGTAACTTTGCACATATACATTTGAAGATTTAAAAGAGAGGAAAAATTATTTACAAAAAAATGTAATTGTTTTGTTGTTGTTTTTTGTAATTAAAGAGAAGTCCTTATTTTTGATGGCGGGCATGATAACTCCTCACTGGAACATCGGAATCCGAAAATTCCAACGGTGGCTCTCGTATGAACTAGGATTGTTGACTTCGCTCTAAAATTAACAAAATGGCGGACCTTTGAAAAAATATTTTTGGAAAATCACCGATTTTTGAAAAAAACAAGTTAAAAAATAAGGAAGATCTTCACCGATTGGCTTTATCCTAGTTCATACGATAGCTATACACTCACAGAGAAACGTGTAAAAATTTGGAATCGATTGGGTTATTAGTTTTTGAGTTATCGTGCCCGCCATTCGCAAAAGAAAAAAACGCGTTTAAAGTTTGGGAAGCCCTTTAGCCGTCACTTGATGTTGACACAATAAATCGGCTATATCTTCAAGAGTTCTCGCGATTTTCACTTGAAATTTTGTAGGGACATTCTTGAATTAGTGTAGACTCGAATTGAATCAAAAAAAAAAAAAAAAAAAAAAGACCCATGTATGCCTCATAATTTTTTTTAAGACCAGTGTATGTCTTATAATTACTTTAAGACCCATGTATGTATATAGTCCTTAAAAAAATATTTTTAAAGAATCCAAGCCTCTAATAGTCTCTATAGTCATTAAAAAAATATTTTTAAAGAATCCACGCCTCTAATAGTCTCTATAGTCATTAAAAAAATATTTCTGAAAAATCCACACCTCTAATAGTCTCTATAGTCCTTAAAAAAATATTTTTAAAGAATCCACGCCTCTAATAGTCTCTATAGTCTTTAAAAAAATATTTTTAAAAAATCCACGCCTCTAATAGTCTCTATAGTCTTTAAAAAATATTTTTAAAAAATCCACGCCTCTAATAGTCTCTATAGTCTTTAAAAAATATTTTTAAAGAATCCACGCCTCTAATAGTCTCTATAGTCTTTAAAAAAATATTTTTAAAGAATCCACGCCTCTAATAGTCTCTATAGTCTTTAAAAAATATTTTTAAAGAATCCACGCCTCTAATAGTCTCTATAGTCTTTAAAAAAATATTTTTAAAGAATCCACGCCACTAACAGTCTCTATAGTCGTTAAAAAAATATTTTTAAAAAATCCACGCCTCTAATAGTCCCCGAGAAAATATTCTTTAAAAAATCCACGCCTCTAATAGTCTCTATAGTCTTTAAAAAATATTTTTAAAGAATCCACGCCTCTAGAAGGACCTCAAAAAATATTTTTAAAGAATCCACGCCTCTAGAAGGACCTCAAAAAATATTTTTAAAGAATCCACGCCTCTAGAAGGACCTCAAAAATATTTTTAAAGAATCCACAAAAAATATTTTTAATAGTCACTATAGTCCTTAAAAAAATATTTTTTTAAAAAAATACAAGCCTGTAATAGTCTCTATAGTCCTTAATTTTTTTTTTTAAATCCACACCTCTAATATTCCTGCTTTCTATAAATGTCCTTAAAAATATACACAATAAAATCTAATTTAATTCAAAACTAAATAACGAAAAAATAAATTTGAATAAAAAGGTCCTTACATTACCACCTCAAAACCTCTTGAAGTGCTGCTGTTACCTAATCTAGTTTCTCTAGCCAAGCCCCCAGTTTTGCACACACAGAAATTTCCATGATAGCCATCCAACATACCACAAACTTCAATTCAATTTCAAGTGTTTAGATTTTTTTTTGCGGAAATCACGATACCGGAAATACGTATTTTTTTCGGTTGGCTCGCATAGCCTTAAGCTTAAAAAGGACGAACTATATATTTTTTTCTACACTGATTTTTTATTTATTTATTTGAAGTTTTGCTATTTTCTTGCTTCTGGCTATTCCAACGAACCTTAGAATGCTGGGTGAGTATTTATTTGCTGTTTTTTTTGGGTGTGTGTGTGGTTGGATACAGAGAAATATACATTCTTCTGCCAACAGAGCTTTTTTTAGATATTTTTTTATTAATTTTTAACCACTAGTTTGCAACCTTCACAAAATACCTTCGTCAAAAAGTCAATGTTATTTCTCAGAAGCTTTTTTGCATATGGTCAAATATCCTGCAACGGTTTTGCTAGTTCCGATTTTGTCTGGGGTGGAGTTTGTTTGTTATGGTGTACATAGCTTTACGTTCTATTTCCGTTAATATTTTTTTTGGGACAACAAACTGGCAACATTGTAAAATAGTGCGGGTGCCATGACCAACTAAATCCTTGAAAAAAATATTTTTAAAACTTCCACGCCTGTTAATATCCTTCAAAAAATATTTTTAAAACTTCCACGCCTGTTAATATCCTTAAAAAATATTTTTAAAAATCCACGCCTGTTAATATCCTTAAACAAATATTTTTAAAAATCCACGCCTGTTAATATCCTTCAAAAATATTTTTAAAACGTCCACGCCTGTTAATATCCTTAATATCCTTGAGAACAAAAAATATTTTTAAAACTTCCACGTCAGTTAATACCATTGAAAACCCATTTTTAAGAATATCCACGCCTGATAATTTTCCTTGTGTGTAGTCCTTGAAAAATATTTTTATAAATTCCACTCCTGTTTGTGGTCCTTGAAAAAATATTTAAAAAAAGTCAAGCCTATTTGAAGTCCTTGAAAAAATATTTAAAAAATTCACGCCTATTTGAAGTCCTTGAAAAAATATTTTAAAAAATCAAACCTGTTTATGGGTCCTAGAAAAAATATTTTTTAAAAAATCCACGCTTATTTGAAGTCATAGAAAAAATATATTTAAAAATCCACGCCTCTTTGAAAAATATTTTTAAAAAATCCACCCCTGTTTATATCCTTGCTGGAAAAAATATCCGTAATAATCCACGACTGTATTCCTCTTTGAATATATTATCTTTAAAAAATCCACACTTGTATTCCTTCTTATAAAAAATGTATTTAAAAAATCAAGTCATGTGTTTTTTTAATCCACACTTGGTCTTTGAAAAAAGTAGTATTTTAAATTACTAATCTTATGGTCCTTGAATTGAATGTATTTAAATCAAAGGATAACACTTTTTGAGTGTTATTGTATATGTTTCTCTGTTAATGGCACTTATCATCATAATAAAAATAAAGAATAAAAATCTGGCCAATAATACCAACATTGATAACAAACTCCATCCACCACTCCTGCCATTATCCTTTCCAAGTATCACTGATAACAACTGTGCAAATGCATCAAAATCGACCATTAGGGGCTTCCGGTGAATTTCATTAAGATCTTGTTTTTGGGTGAGTACATGAAATAAAACACAGACTCTGACATAAGTGATTGCAGGACCACAGAGCGAGAGAGAGATGAACACTTCTATGGTTTAGTGACCAATGTAACAAAAACAAAAACCTGATACAATAAACACCTACCCAGAAAAAGAAGCTATGCAGACCAGCTATTCTGAGCAGACCAGAAAGGAATTTGCACCCAAGGGTGCTTTGCATTGTTCATTTATGGTTTACTTCTCGTACACATTTCTTGTGTTCTCCTTTTTCATGCTTCCTCTGTATTGTTATCAAGGTATTATTACTCGGTACTTACATGATTATTACGTTTGGTTAGCATTACCACATAAGTACCCGAAACTGGGCAAATACAACGTGTTATATTCTCCATTAGATTTTTGGTTATGCACAAATCTGAACGCCAGCTGCTTTCAAAGGATGCCTTATAATCATGGCTAATGGTTGGAACGAGAATGCGAAGGAGAAAATGAGAAACGAGAAAGATTGAAATTGAAACATGGTTGTAACTACAAAATAGCATTCATGGTCAATAATTTAGAATTTTTCTTTTGAAAAACCAAAAAAGGTTTATCTTTCTTTATTTTTAGGATGCAAGGATACAAATACATTCATTATCCCGATAATACTTACCCACACACAGCTATCCAATCACTATCTTTGGGTGCTCGCTCATGTTGGAATATAATCTCAACGTGGCCATGTTCGAAGGGTAAATCCAATGGTTCGCGTAAATTATCATTAGAGCGATTCGATTGAAAGAGCCAGGTTTGTATGATGCGCGAAGCCAAAATGTAATCAGATTCTTTGGGATCACTGGAATTTGTGTTGTTTTTTTAATGAGCGGTAACGGGACGAGCAGCAACAGCATCAGCAAAGGAATGTACACAGAAAAACAAAGAGACAAAAAATATACATATATTAAGAAAACATACACAGACACATATTTAGAAGATAGATATCTACCACCAAAAAATCTAATTAAAAAGACAAAAACAAAAAATGAACAGCGAAAGAAGAAAACTGACATTAATGCCAGTAATGACATGACATCGTGAAAAAATGTCAAAATGTTTGTATGGTTGGATGATGTGGTAAGAGACATATGAGTCCTGCAACATTTGTTGTTTTCTCTTCTTTGTATAATTTTAAAGCATGTGAGTATGACATTCCTTAAAACTAATCTGTCATTTAAGGAATTCAAATCAAGTGGTGAGCTATTTTCGTATTAAATAAATTGTAGGTTGTCTTATCACACATTCCCAAATTGGGGTTTACATAAATTTGCATTTCTTTTAAAAACACAATTTACAAGATAGCAAGTCCAAAATAAAAAATATGTTAAGTTCCACATTTCTTGTAGTAATAAATTCTACACAGCTGTATTGGTCCTTGAAAAAATATTTTTAAAAAATCCACTTTATTTCCTTGAAATATAATAAATTATATCCTACGGCCCTTAGCCTTATGTGGTCCTTGAAATGAAATATTTTTAAAAAATCCACGTCTGTATTGCTCCTTGCAACATTTTTTTTTTAAATCCACGCTTGTGCATGGTCTTTGAAAAAATATTTTGAAAAAATCGAAGTTTTTAATAGTCTTTTAAAATATAAATATTTCGAATTATATCAAGGCATTTTTCATAGCTACTTTCCCATCTTATGCTTGTCACGCAAAAATGCACACAAACTTTGTTGGTGTGCATTGGTTTTAGGGGAACTATGCTTCTTTGTGATCCGAAATCCGTTTCAGACTCGGCATTTGTACATTAATTAATAAATAGTTGTTTGTTATAAAAACAACAAACTGGGATTCATCCTGACTATTTTGCAAAAACAATTTTAAAAACTTATATGAAACGAACAGAATATACAAAGTCATCGAAGAATTTTTTTTATCCAAAATCGAATCTAAGGATGGACCTATCGATCCACTCCTTTAAGTACCTCCCCTGCAAAGGTTCAACATCTTGACAAATTTTTAATTCAATAACCATAAGGTGGCGTGTATATTAAATTTATCATTCCGTATGTATATTCTTGAATAAAATTCTATATCGTTTTATGAACACGACTGTAAAAGTCGCGGTTGAGATCGCAACATTTAAGATATAGCTCTGAAATTTTGCATAGACATTGCTAGTACTCCTAGGATGTTTGGTATTGGAAATGGGATATATCGGACCACGTTTTGATATAACGGTACAAAAAATATGCACCAAAACATTATCTAATATCCAAGGTTTTGACACATGTAATTTTCTACGTTTGGTTCTCATTGGGTATAAAATCCCACAAAATGTTCAAACATTTTGTATTTTTTTATATGACAAAAATAAATATAAGCCCCCATATAACGTCATCGATATTTTGATGGTGTTTCTAGCTAATTTTTTGTAATTTGTTATTTTGGGTTGTGGAACTCCAAAGATATTTTCTGAAAATGCACTCCTTTAAGACCTCCAAAAATACAAAGGTTTAAACAACATTTTGAAAAATTGTTAATTCAATAACCTTAAGGTGGCGTGTATATTAAATTTATCATTCCGTTGGCAATACTTCAAAATATTCACCAGGCAAAGTATGTATATTCTTGAACTATTCAATTTATGAACACGTCTGTGGAAGTCGCGGTTGAGATCGCAACATTTAAGATATAGCTATGAAATTTTGCATAGACATTGCTAGTACTCCTAGGATGTTTGTATTGGAAAATTTCATGTCAATCTGATATATCGATGCACCATTTTTGATATATATATGGTATAAATATGAATATTGGGAAGCCCACAGGTTATTATACGGTTTCAGTACCTTATCAACCATATATTGGTTCCTTGGTGTGTCAGTTACATATTTTTATATGGTTTTTTCACGAAACTTGACACATGTTCTAGCTAATTTTTTGTATAAGAACTTTGTATATTTTTACATTGAATGGAAAAATATATATATATATATATATATCTTAAATTTCACGATAAGCACACATCATTCCAGGCTCAATTCGGTACGCAATGCCTAATATCGAGCAAATCGAAAGATGTATAGCGACTTTGGTGAAATCGTACGAAACCATATATGAAAGCTATATCTAAATCTGGACCGATTTTCACAAAACTTGGCAGACATTATTTTAGGCTCAATTCAGTACGTTATGACAAATTTCGCGCAAAAAAGTTATACCTTGTTTAGACCCTTTCAAAAATATAAATACATTGTAAAAAATTTACGCATTTGTAAAGGTTACGTTACATTGGGGAGATTTAGCACTTCTTTCTACCAATTTGGAAGCAATTTAATAGAAAGGATTCTCATATTATGGTAACCACTATTTTGAGGGTTCTGAGCACTTTTTAACCGGCAAAAGGGGAACTTATACACGTGCCTCAACCGCATTACCTGCATTTTAATATTTTGGATCCTCACTAAGTAAAAAATATCCATACCAAACATGTTATTTTGAGGACTTTGAACACATTTTCAATGGATTTGCTAAAATTTGCTGAAATTTAGTGTTCTGAAATCTTTTTGGAAACATATTGGTGGTATTACTATATAATTATCTCGACAATTATTCATTAAATCTGACGTAGATGCAGTATAATATAGTTCATATTGGGCTTCGAAACTTCGTTTTACGTAAAATTGTCATAAAAAATGCCTTTATTTAGTATTTCTGGTGCTCAAGGAGTAGATAAACTTGGGAAAAATTGTTTGTACAAAGATCCTGGCCATTTTTCATTACATCGGACGTTTTAGGCACAATTGCTTATATATTTTCGATCCGTATTTCACTTCATTTGTTTAAGATTTAATTTTCTCAACAAAATTTATCTGCCAACTCAAAACATGTACTTCACGTGAAATTGCCGCTAAAATCAATGGTGATTGTATCTAAATCAAAAATACCATATCTGAAATTTTTTGTAGCAAATAAATACGTCGTAATGTTAGTTCGTATTGATTTCAGAAAATACTGTAATTAATGATGCCATAAAATAAACAAATTCAATAGAACTCCCATTGCAAAAGAAAAATCATCTACAGTCCATCAATCAAATATATAGATTGTGGTTTATGTAATGAACGGTATAATAAATTTCATTTAATGATACGTATTAGTCCTTTAATATTTAATGAATATAAGGGAAGAAGTTAATATATACAGCCATACAGCGATTGTAACGACAAACTCGTAGGAGTTATAAAATTGAAATGTTGTAGTTTCATATACAATTCTAGAAATTACGTTGAAGGTCTACTTAAACAGTTTTTAACAACCAATCTGTCATTTGCATTTTACATTTCAAATGAATGACATCTTCCTGTTTTATTTATTTTTTACAGCATTGTGATAAAATTTCTGTTCTCGACCTTCATATAAGGTTGCCAGTCAGTCAGTATCAATGCTTTTAATTAGAATTCTGTAAGACCGGATATGATGCAAAAACGGATGTTAACACACACTCTGATCCACACACACTGACATGTGAGCACACTCTATAAACACACACACATGCTAAGTATAAATCTTAACATTACATGGCTGCAGGCATTTGTGTGCATGTAAAACTATAAGTGAGTATGCATGCGGGTGTGTGTTTCATTATCACGCTCATGTGTTATGGCTACATGTAAATCTGTGTGTGTGTGTGTGAGTGTGTGTGTGTCTGAGAGTGTATATGCCAGTATAACATGTGCGTGTCTATTTAACAAACACATGTGCATAAATCCGATTTATTTTAATGGCATCATTTTTAAACACGTACTTACACAGACACACACACACTTACACATATGTTACACATTTATTATTTTGGAGGTCATTTCATAAAAATTTCGTATTTTATATTTAATAGTACTAAAGTCACACCGACACACACACTCTCGCATGCAAATTGTTATTGGTGATGCGGGGTGGGGATTATCGCTCACATGTTACCACTTACCTTCCACGTGTATAGTAGGTTTTGGGTAGAAAACTTTTCAGATTTTTATATGATATAACTGAGGCAAATATCGTATTATTGGCCATAATGTTGAGTAAACGATTCGATAAACCAATGTCCATGTAAAGCTGATCCGAAAATAAATCATCACTGTAATGAGATTAAAAAAACCCAAACATAGTTGGTAAAGGTTTAGAGATTAAAATTTTAGTTAGTTAGTATTATGTATATATTTAAATTTATTAATGTATGTGTGTTAAATATAATTTGTTAGAAAATTATCGGGAGATTTAAATATACAGAATTTAAAAATATATATTTAAAATAAGCGAAATTAGTTTAGTTTTCTTTAATTACTAGAAAATATATTCTGTAATACGAGGCGTATACGCCTTCTTTAATAAAAATTATAAGCACCATTGGAGTATAATTAACAAATGCAGTACTGCAACGATGTTAGGAACTTATTATTAATTTATGTTGACATAAAAATATGTAAAGAACAAAAACATCGATCATATACTCATTATTTGGTACACCTATCGTTATATATCGACCATAACACTAATAATTCTAGTGTTGGGGTGTCGGAATCAGTCGGTTTTGCTGGAGTTTGAAAGTTTACTGGACTCCGAATCCATACAAAAATTATTTCTAAATGATAGTATGAGGTTTGAGGAGGATTGATTCGTATGGGAGGATACATACCGAAAGTCGGTAAGTATACACATTCGCCTTAGACGTTTCTCCTCGCCCACAATATATATAGTCTCCGGAGACTATTTCTAGAAACGATAAAGTTATTATGCCCAATATTTTCATAAGAACTATACATGGAAGTAGTTTATATAAACACTTCTAATAAAAACCTGTAGCGTTACCCATATTGATTAGTTTTGATAGCTAGATTTCTTGCTCAATATTATTTGGATGAACTTTAAAGGTGAAAAAAACCTGAATAGAACCTCCATACTATCCGACAAAATTTGGTTAAATACCTATTAGACAAGATACCATAAATATTGTGGTTCGTTCTATGGAGGTTACGTTAGGGCATTAGATTCATTTTAATATTTGTATGCAATGAGGTATTTTACACAATATTAGGTATTTTGAAGCATTTGAAAGTTTACTACTCGAAATTATCAATATTGGTCCACTTTTTGGATTGCCCACATATAAGCTGCACACAATAATCTGGAGGGTATATTATATAATTTCCGACCCAATAAAATATATATTTTCTTTATCGTTTAAAATTCAATGATTTAGATATGCCATCTATCGATTTGAGATAGATCGTCAAAATTTTGGATAGAGTTGTATTTTGTTTCCAGGAAGGTCTAGTTCGAAGACGAACTATATCGGTCCATGTTAAGGCATAGCCACCATATTAAGGTAACCCCTCAAATTTCGATATTTTGGGGATCTTTTAGCCTCATATAACGGTAATCCAAGGATCTTGAGGATTTCGATCGAATTATCTGTAATTTGGTGTGTTGGAACCTAATTGGGTACCAAAACTTCCCACCAAAAATTCTCAATATTGGTCAAATTTTTCAATATTTTGGATGGTCTCGAGTGCGGTTTTCAACCGAATGCGATATAATTTGGTATTTTAGATTCTTATTTGGTAGCAAATCTCCCTATCAAACACATAATAATATTAAATATTTATTATTATGATTATTAAATAATATAAAAAATATAATAATATAAAGCCTCTTTTGGAGTCTCAGCGTATTAGGTACAGGTTAATGTATGCGTTTTTTTGAAACCGGTTCAGATTTAGATATAGCTCCCATATATATTTACTTCTATTTTATGTATATTGTGCTCTAAAGTTTGACCGATTGCGCACAATTTTTTACAATGTACTTTAGTTTGTATAGCCATAGGTCGATTGACACAACATTTTGCAAAAGGTGCTGAAGTTGATATAAATTAATACCCTGCAGGTTTTTAGAGAGGTGTCGTAGGGGATGATAGATACCAAGCATCGGCTCTGATTGCCTTTAACATGGCGAAGTCCAGGCTTATCTTGGTCCCTTTCATCTCAATTGTGGACACTGACCTCCCCGCGGTGCCACCTGTAGAGCTATTTTCATCACCCGATGAAATAGTGGGCTAATATGTCCGCGAATTCACCCATAAGAACTATATGAGGCATCGGGTTAGTTGCCCACTTTCGGAAAACCCAACCTACTATGAAAAAGCAAAGAAAAAGAAAACCAAACCCCCCTAATGTTGACGACCCCCGCAAACGTATAAACGACCACGATCTGCGAATCTGCACTTGGAATGTGCGCAGGTTGCACAGAACAGACGCAGTTTTGTCTTTGGCGTATGTACTCAAGAAGTACAAAGCCGATATTATTGCCTTACAGGAAATGCGATGGAAAGGGACAGGCGTAAGTAAATTAGACGATTACGCACTGTGTTAAAGCTGCCATGAAAGGAGACATTAATTTGGCTGCGGTTTTATGGTCAACAGGAGAAAAAAATACCTCGTCTCCAGATTCACTCCAGTAGATGAGCGAATTGCTATAATCCACATAAAAGCGAAGTTCTTCTACATCAGTCTCAAATTGCAGCCTTCATGATGAAACATCCGACTACGGCATGAGGCTGATTGACTCAGCAAAAAACATGGTAGTTAGCAGCACCAGATTCAGCATATAACCGATATACACAAGGCCATGACATTAATCTCTCCTGATCAATTTTAATGCAAAAATCAAATTGATCATGTTGTGATAGACGGAAAATTCAGCATTCATGAACATCATTCAACGGCATGAGGCTGACTGACTTTGCGGCAGCAAAAAACATGGTAGTTAGCAGCCAAGGTACTCACCCGACTTAATGTAGCAGCAAAGGTGCGATCTAACACAACACGGAAACTCGACGTCGAAAAGCTGAAAACACAACAGGTATCCGAGGCCTACTCCGATCAACTTACCCATCTGCTTGAAAAAAGCACTTCTTGTCCCGATAATAGTATAGAAGCACAATGACAAAGAATTGCCCACTCCCTACAAACTGCAGCAAAAGCAACACCTGGGTACCAAAAACCACCACCAAGAAACCCATGGTACGATCAGGAGTGTCGTAATGCTACTGATGTGAAAAACGCACGTATAGGGCAACCCTGCCGTCAGTAGCAACACGTAACGTGATGGAGAATTATCGGGAGAAAAGGGAGAGAGGATAAACGTGTTTTCAGAAAAAAAAAACAAGAAAAACGTGAGTGTGAGCAAATCGAGATGTCAGAATGAAGTCCGGAAATTTTACCAACGAGTGAAACACTAAACCGAAGGCTTTGGTGCAGGCACATCCTCCTGTACAGATGAAGAAGGAATCCTGGTGATAGATACATACAGCGTGTTGAGGATCTGTAAGAAGCATTTTGAAGCGCCGATGACATCGATATAATGGGTCTAACATTGCGAGCGGTAACAGCCACCTTTGAACAAATTGAAAAGGAGTCTGCCAAAGTGGGTCTGGCAGTAAACAGTGAGAAGACCAAGCTGATGGTATCAACGCGCAAGACGTCCAGTAAACTCGGACCCACTGTGGAACTTGAGAACTACTGCTTCGAGGTAGTTAAAGACTTTATATACTTTGGTACCGCCATAAATAAAACGAATGACATCAGTTTTGTAATTCGAAGAGGATTGTGATGGCCAACCGATGCTACTATGGTCTGAGCAAACAACTCAAAAGCAAGGCCACCTCCCGCCAGACCAAACTCACACTTTACAAGACGCTGATACTACCCGTTCTATTATATGGATCAGAAGCATGGGTACTTGCGCAAGCAGATGATGGGATGTTTGAAAGAAAAATTCTCCGAAAGATCTACGGGCCGATCGGAAAATAAACGTTTCTCCGATTGATGCAGAATATCAAATGTTGTATGTCACGGTTGCACAAATAAGTTCAGATTTCCATGTAGTTCACATACATTATTTTACACTATTTCATACAAATGATACACCAAAGAAACCAAGTCTGTCCGATTGACATGTCATTTTTCATAGATTTTAGAATGGTATGTGTATGGGTTTGTGTATTGACAGGGAATTTTGAGCATATTTCAGGATGACTTGTGCAGTATATGATTTATCTAATTTGATATACCTGAGAGCACACATTTAATTTTATCCGATTTCATGTGAGTGGTCCACCCAAAGATTGTACGTTCATTATATTGACACGTACAATAATATATGACCAAAGTTATTAGAGAAGGACGTATGTTGTACTTGGTTCATATCAGTATATATCTAACTACACCTTACAAAAAAGGATCATAAGTGCAAATCTTGTATATGTAAAAAGTTGTGAGGTGAGTCATATAGTCGGCCTCGTCAGACTTTTGAACATTTCTTACTGGTTTTTGAAGAGAATCCATTTATAAAGTTCCAAAGCTTTACAGTAAATCTTCTAAATTATTTGGTTCTCCTTGCCTTTGGTTAAGGTTATATGTTTGACCTAAGAATTCCAATCCTTTATTGGGATTTAGGTATTACCACGGAGATCAAAGTTGCTGTCTGCAGTTCCATTACAATTTGGGGAAAACATTCATAGGTTTTGTAAACATCACCTTGCAAGATATATTTATTTTTGCTTCCTCCCTATGCATTCAATTCAATTTAATTATTCTTAAATCATACAAATATTTTACCATTGTTAAACACTGAATTGAAAAGAAATTTCAGTCGATAATTGTTAATAAAATTCTGGCTGACATTATGTCGGTAACGCCCTTTAACTTCTTACATAAATAATTTAATTACTTCCTTGCTTACAAGACTTCACTAAGTGATAATAGGAAATAGCCGACCACCTTCTTACAAATTAACAAACACTAAGTTAATAAAGGAAACAAATCACACTTTTTAACAACTTTTTACAAGTTATGGACAATAAAAGAAAACCACGAAAATTATAACAACAGCAAAAAATATTATCACACAAAAAACTTTAGATTAATTCATTTAAAAGAAAAGACGACGACTGGTCATTACATTGCACTGAGTACAATGTTCAGTACTACGGGAAATAATTGACGTGAAACTAACGGCCAAAGTCAAGAGGTTACCGGTACCGGAAAACTTTTTCGCAAAGCAAAGTAAAACTTTTACGTCAATGGCATAAATTCCAGTCTGCGTCTGGGCAATGCGGACGCTAACATCAAAAGTAGCCATAAAAGCAGTCAAGAAACTTTAAAGTTATTAACGGATGAAAGGCCATAAAGAGAACGAACCATGGAATGGTATTCAAAATGTTTCCGGAAAATAATGGTACGCTAAGTTTAGTCTTTTAAAGATGAAAAAATGGAAAAAATAATAAGTCAATATTATTTACCTGGCATGACATTTTGTTTGGGTGGTATTTAAGTTTTACCTTTCATTGGCGTGTATTTTAAATTGACACCAAGCAACATTGAGTGGCGTAAAATAAAGGAAAAATTTTTTTTACGCCAAAGAAAATATTATCACGTCGAAAAGAAAAAAATAAAAACATTTCAGAATATCGAAGAGTACAAAGTTATATTCTTGGGCAAAGTTTCGTTTAAAGCGAAGCAAAACAAATACTCCAAATGCTGTCACGTAAAAGTTTAGAAAATATACAAAAAGAAATGGAGAAAAATACGAAACTAGTAAGTAGTTAAACGCTTAGAGTATCTTTTTGAGGTAATTGAAACGTGTTAAGAAAACCGTTATTGTAAACCAACAACATTTCCAAACCATCACACCATTAGCCAAGCAAGATGAATGGATAAAAAGTGAGTGAAAGGTAGTGAGTGAATGAACAAAAAAGAAAAAAAAACCTGAACAAAGTTGATAAACAAAAAGTAAACAGCGGATATATTGAAAAGTATATAAAGTATCAAAGATAAGTTAAGACAAAGCTGTTTGAAGAAAAACTACTTGAAACAATTTTTAATATTTTTTCTTGATAGAAATAAGGGAAATAAAAAAGCGGATGAACCTGACGGGACCAATCTTTTTGTTTCATGGTAAATTTGTATGTAATATGAGTTTGTAAAAATCAACAGTTAATTTCTTTAGATGTTTTTTGTAATCAATTTGAAGACAACATTAATTTGTAGATTTGGTATATAAGAAATCTGCCAAAATATATATGGGTGCTATATATTTCTGCAGATGTTTTAAATGTGAAGAAACGTAGCCTATCTAAAAATCCTGTCATTCTATAGGTCAGGTCAGCCGAAGCTCTACCAGCGATTTGGGTGTAAACCACCTCCAGCATCATGGGTCAACACCAACTGCCTGGCTAGATCTATGGGCTCTGAAAGCCGTGCTACCGAAATTTTCGGTCAGGTTCATAGCCGAATATATTACCAGTAGAACTGCAAAGCGTTCGAGATTGATCGCCTACAGACTATAGTCTCTGTCCAGCTTCATAGCCACAGCTACTACCATTAGAACTAATATTTGCTGGCTCTCTACAATGAAACAGCCTCTGAAAGAGAATAAAAAACAAATGTCACCACAACATCTTACGCCATTTGTAGCCACCATGCATCTCACCCCTTCCAACAATTGTTCGGGAATTGTAACCCTACTAGTTTTGATGTACTACCCAATAATAACACAAACTACCAAATTTTAGGTAATTCAGTTGCAACTCGTGTCCAAAATCCTCAAAATACCGAACACTGGAGGTACTGTTAGAAGCGAGCTATATCACACCAGGAGTAGTATAGTCGGTTGGGGCCGACCAAATGATACTCTACTCTATTTCCACTGAACACTTAGTTTCTGCGCATCTATATTCCGAGGAAGGTCAATATATCGCTATATTTGCACTCTCTTGGTCAACAGCTCCTTGGTGGCATCTTTTCGGATCAGTTTTTTTTCCCGGAGAAAAAAAATACTCCATAAGATTTAAATATTGTTGTTTTACACAAAAACGTTTTGGTTCATTGACCTTCATTATAATGACAGTCAATCAAATTAGTAGGTCACGGAAAATTTGTGATGTTCGGCTTATAATTGTAACCGCCAGAGCGACTAGATATCTAGTCAAAAATTAAGTTTTCTGTCCATTTCACCTCCGAAATATTTTCTGATCATCATTGAAAATTATACCTTCTAGACCATAACCGGAACCTCGTGCAAAATTTACTTGCCATCAGCTCGAAATATAATATGGTAATGAGTATTACCATCAGAATATATCAGAATACGTATGGATATACTATCAACATCTCGGGTCTATGTCTTTCAGGAGTAAATATATACGCCATAGAATAATAATTTTGTAATTTTTCACGCAACAGTCCATTTGTCCTTGACCGATCTTCACCAAAACAGTCTTGCTTATTCCATGGTCAGACCCCTCTCTCTGTGTAAATTTATAATTGTGGCCTCTAGGACCAATATTTCACGGTGCATATTTCGGTTTCTTGAAGAATAAACATTAACATTGCAGAAAATTAGGTCTATGTTTTTATATAACCACCATAATGGTCCTGCACTAGTTTTGGTAATTTATAGGTTTTAGCTGTTTCCGTTCAACGAAGTGATTTTTAATACAAATTTTCGGTATTGTGGGAAGTTTGGGCACGTTTTCAATCAAATTTGGTTTGACTTTATATATGGTTTAGTGTAGGGTATAAACCATTTAAAAATTCTATAAAAAGGTAGATACTTTTATATGAAGACTAAGTCTCTCAGGTTGGAAAATGTGTTGGGAACTTGGAAAACTTGCTACTACACCTAAAATGTTTTGTCATAATGACACCATCTTTGGCACGTTCTTTGAACGATTTTGCTTTAACTTCATATTTAGTATTCTGATTACGCATCAAATCTTCCTACAGAAAAGTATGAATTTTATTCCACGCCATAAAAAGGTCCTGGCTGATTTACAGAGTTGTTGAATGCAAAGTTCGATCTGGCCGAACATAAGGTAAGGTCACACTAGGCAAATATTTGACTCAAATGTCTTTTATTTTGATTGCTCAAAAAACGTCAAACTTGTGCACTCTTGATTTTGTGTTCACATTACACTCACATATTTGACACAATTTGTTTGCTCAAACAGCAGGCAAATAGTGTCAAATAACGAAATGGGAAAACATATTTGACGTGGTCACATTTGAGCAAATATTTGCACAATAAAACAGTTTGATCAAACTGTCAAAAAACAAAAAAAATATTTGCTCGATATTTTCCAAGAAATTATGGAAGAGGAGCAGCGTCAATTATTGTATTGGACGAAGAAAATAAAGTTAAAAAAAAAAAAATAAGAAAAGACCGTGGGTTCGTGAGTGAGTGCTTGACGAGAAATCGAATAAACGCAGCTCGGAATATCGTATGCTGGGCAATGAGCAATTCTCATTGAAGAATAAAAAATATCTCCAGGTAAGGTCTAAACTATTTCCATTTTCCAATCCCAAAAACTCAAAAAATATTATATTCCATTATTCTTTTAGGCCTTGGAGCTTTATTTGTTATTCCGAACCAGGTTCTGAAAGCATAGCCATTGGTTATGCCGATCCAGGTACGTTATGTTTGTACGAATCGTAAGTTGGTCGTGGGAGATATATTTGCCACTGAAGAACCGTTCTGTTCGACACTGCTACCGCCCATGCGTTACATACGCTGTGCCACTTGCTAAGTGGAAAACTATCTGACTCTAATAACCTGTGAAAGCTGTTTTTTGTATCCAGAATGTAAACGAACTGTTGAGATGTCCGTGTTTTAAATTACGCATCCGAAAGATTATATGTAAAATTAACTACAGAGCTGGACATTTTTCGTGATCGATGTTGTCGTCAAATGGAGGCAAATATTTGCTAGTCGGCGTTCACATTGTGAGCAAATCAAGCAAAATTTTGTTTGCTTTCAAATAATTTTGTTTGTCCAAATTCAGCTGTTTTTGTGTTTGCCATGAAAAATATTTTGTGGTCAGACTATGGCAAAGAAATATTTGACACTTTTCGTCAAATATTTGCCTAGTGTGACCATACCTTTAACTATTTGTTGTTTCTATAAAATATCTCTTACAGATTATTGAAGCTATTTTCAAAATAATAGGCAATGGATTAATCAGTCTACTGTGTTTGAATGTTATTATTAATAAACCTCTGCATAATTCGGCATTTAGTTACATGTTGTGGATGTCAAACGAGAGATGGGTAGTTCCCTGGGCCATTTAATGTAACAAACTTTGTAAGTTATAACATTCACTACACATGTCAAGCAAATGGTACTGCTTTTATATTTGTTTGGGTTCATTCGTTCATTCATCTCAAATAGGTTATGCTCCTAGCCTTTTGTTTCACAGAGTTCGGTTATATGACTGTTCTCGGTGTCAAATCATATAACCAAACCAAGTTGCTATGCTAAGTTGCTATGCATGTTTTCAATATTGTGGATATAACTCTTAAAGCTATTTTCATATAATTATTTTAATATAAAATTTTAAAACTTACCCATATATGCGTAAATTAAAGGGTAAAGTTTTTATGGATGTCATATAGATGCGCAACGAGTTGAGACGATCCAAAGACAGTGAATCTTCATCAACTGTTAGAATGCTATTTGGGCCAACAGCACCTCCGCCCATGCCCGCGGCCACATCCATCGTACCAGTGGCAACAGCAGCCGTTGCTCCATTACCGACAGACTGTGAAATGTCAGTTTTTAACAAAGTTTGTCGGTTATTTCCGGTTGCAGTTGCAACAACTCGAAGATTACTGCCACTGCTGCCAGCCACACCCGTGCTGGCCTTCAAAATGTTCGCATCTTCAATGGGATCTATTCTTGATGGTTGAGTTAAAGTTAAAATTGAAGATGATGATGACGACGACGATGAGGCGGAGGAGGAGGCTAGGGACCCCGTTGCGGAAGTTGAAGAACCTGAGGATGCTGCAGCTGACTGTGTTATACTACCCGTTGATGTGGACGTTGCTAATTGTGATGCTGCAATTGTTTCACGGTTCAATGCGGCTGATTGCGTTAAAAGTTGCAACTTTTTAATTTGCTGTAAAAATAATAATTAAATATTAGACAACAAATGTTTGGAAATTTTGTTTCTTTTCTCATATTTTTAAGTTTGTCTACTTGTTGTTGTCGAGCTGTTAGCTAGCTGGATGGGCGGATGGATAGCTATGTTGGTTTTTTGTTTCCTTGCTTGCTTTTCTTTGCAATTATTTAATTATTTCTAAAGAAATAAAAAATGAAAATGAAATAAAACGAAAATAAGCTATCTATAGTCGAAGAGGAAGTAGCAGGAGCTGAAACACCATTGTACATAGTTTGTTGTCCCGGGTCTGCATTTAATTTAAGGTAGTTGTGAGTCGTATTTTGAATATTGAACGCAAAGAATACAATTTTATGTTCCATAGTGTTTTTTTTTTGTTTTTGTAAAATGTATATTTAATTGTGTGTAATGTTTCCTGTGAATAATGATGATAATGCCTTTTGTCGAAAATGGAATGTTAATTTCCAAGTAAATTACTGTCAGCCCATAAAAAAGAAAGATCATGAACATTTTTGTAATATATTCTCGAGGGAAGATTTTAGGGAAGTTAATTTAATGTGTGTGTCAATCAAATGAGTTACATTGTTTTTAAACAACAATTGGAAGCTGGGAGGAATACATTTGGCATAAAATGATGAATAGATTGAGAATTGCAGACACGCGATTGTGAGAACGAAAATAGTTCTAATAGAAAAATAAATACAAACTTCATTAAACTGGGGCGGGTCGAGCTTTCCATTTCAATGAATTTTGAATCGTGCAGGGTATACACCATTCAAAATTCTTAAAAAATCGGTACCTTTACATGGACATTTTAGCTTGGAACTAAGATAACTTGCTACTAATGGAACATCCTCAGTATTGAAAATGTTTTAGTATAACGGTACCCAAAATTTGCAGTATTTTGGGAAATTTGAGCACGTTTATATTTGGAGTTCTCATTAGATATTATACCTTCTACCAAAAATTAGTCAACCTTTTAGAATGAGTCCCATATAACATGACCCTCTAATTTTCGCTATTTTGAGGTGTTTGGACAAGCTTTCAATAAAAATGACTATTATTTCACATTTGAGTTAAAACTTCCTACCAAAATGTATTGATACAGATATTTGAGGTTCTTATTACATGTCAAATCTTTCTAACTAAAATATCAGTATATATCTCCGTTTGGGTACAGCCTACATATAACGGTATCGATCATATTTTAAAATCGATTTGTATAATTTTAATTATTTCGATGTTCAATGTCTTAGTCCAATTTTCCCAGCCGAGAGTCTGTACTTTTATATTTTGTTTCTCCTGACAGCATTTTATATTGGTATTTTGAATGTGGGTATAAAAAATTCTCCCGGCCCAGCTAGTAGTAATATGATATCGATTGCCATAAATGTGGACAGATCGATATAAACCTGATTAAAAACATGTTCTCTGAATTCTCTTCTCCTACCGTGTGAGGATAGGGGGTAAGTTAATAAGCATACTAATAAATAAAAGTCAGTTAAATCTGGAGGTTCGACCATCCAATATTAGGAATTTATGAACGTGTACCAAAACTGAGTGCCCCTAATCAAAATACAAACAAAATACTGGGCAAACAACCAGGCATTTGTAGTCGGGGGTATCGATATAAGTACGTAGCCAACACCCGAAAATTTATCCATACTTCCACAACCTTCAATTCAAACTCGAATACGAGAGCTGCAGCGGAATCTTCCGTAAAGATCGGGAATCCCAAATAGTACTAATCGGACTACAAGAAAGAGGAAAATGACAAGAATAATTGGTAAGAAGTCACCATCATACCCGAAGGTACCAGGAGGCACATAAGAATTCCCTAATAGTACTTCGACGAAAATAGTACGTCCGGTAAGATGTAAAAGGAGGTACAGGATGCGGTGAACAATAATAAATTGAATCACCATTTGAATTGGGGACTCAATCGATATATCCAGCTGCGAATTCAATTAATCAACCCTTGGATAGATAATTGCTAGAACTGTCTTGCCACGCGAGGCAATCAAAAGTAATTAGAAACGGCTACACCATCATTTCTTTGGGGTCAGATCAACGCCGTATTATCATATGCATCAATGGACCACTGGACTTCATAAATTCTGAACCATGGGAAAGCCAATTTGAAATAGTTTATAAAATTCACCAATCGTCGCCTTAGAGAAATGTCCAATCCTAACACCAGAATCAGAGAACTGACCATAGAAATGAATAGGTGGCTAGAATATCTGAAATGTTGTAACATCAGTACCGGATATGTCGTTTATATATCGTTTAACGGAATTGAGTTGACAGATCCGAAGAGGTGCGCGCGTTGTTTCTACGACAAATTGAGTTCTTTGAATACCTAACCAAAGACCTCAACTTGTACTTAGCCACCCTAATAGTTCCCGATGCTTGGAAATTGGGCAGGTTGGTCCCGCTACTGAAGCCACACAATGATGCCAGCAAAGATGAATCATACAGGCCGAGTCTGAGCCATTGCTACTCCCCAACATTCATGAATGCTACTCAACTGTTGATCGTCAACACTGATTCGGGAAGTAGCAAAACACATAACCCGCCATTTCTACACATATACGGAAGGACTCAATGAAATAGGGCACTTATGGTGGCGCAGGACTTATCAAAGGCATTTGATTGGAATTAATGTCATATGCGATAAGCTGAACAGCTATCTCGTGTATATAGGTTCTATGGCCACATTAAATAGCCTCCAAAAGTTATCCGAAATTACCACAGCAATTTGCGATAAGGTTAGGAGCAGGAACAAGATTCTCAACTGGGTGGACCCCATATAACGGTCCACCAGTATTCGACATTTGGAAGCTTTTAGCTTTTAGGAAAATTTCAGCACTGAAGAAGGAAAGACTCCAATCACTTCACAAAATTTAAGGAGGCGCTGTATATAGGCAGCAATAGATCGAAGGAAACCTTTTCACCTGGTTTTGCCTCAGCAGACCAATTTTCTGATTTGATGGAATAAAAACGATTATTAAAGAAACTTTCTGTCATGGATAAACCGAGTAAGTGGCTGGGCTATGCGGAAGTCCTATGCTGCCAAAAGAATTAACAGGATAAATAATATATGGTAAAGGAAATATGATTAGTGTATTAATTATCTTATTCCTAAGAGGTCAACTGCCGAGGCGACCATAGTATGACGATATAGCCATGTCCGTATGTCTGTTGTAATCACTCTGGCATCTAAATGAATTGAGATAGATAGCCAATTTTTTGCATAGAGTCGTCTTTTGTCTGCAGGCAGGTCAAATTCGAAGATGGGCTTTATCGGTCCAGGTTTAGGCATAGCTCCCATATAAGGGTACACCCCAATTTTCGGTACTTTGGGGTTCTGAAATTTGCAACATTGGGTTCTTATTGGGTACTAAATGTCTCCACAAAAAATTATAAATATAGGTCCACTTTTTTTGGTAGGTCAATAGGTATAGGTGAATTTTTTCTGGTAGCCCCCATATAAGGGTACCCCCAATTTTCGGTATTTTGGGATTATTGAGCGCGTTTTTCAACCGAATTCGCTGCAATTTGGTATTTTGTAGTCGTATATGGTAACAAATCTCCCTACTAAAAATTAGTAATATTCGCTCTCTTTTTGGCGTTGTCCCCAGAACTTAAGGTTCGATAATGAACTATATATGAACTATAGCCCGGATTTAGGCATAGGCCTAGCCCCTTTGTTGGACATACCAGAAGGAGTGGACCGATATTCTCCATCTTCGAACTTGAACTAAGTTTGGAAGAAATAATAAGATAGGCAATGTTTGGATGAAATCAACATTTTTTGAAATATGGGTCTGGAACCAACATTTCGATGATGCACATTTTCACTGTATGAAAGTGTATAACCCTTATTAGCCATAAGGCTGAGGGTATCCATTAAAAATTGCTGAAATTTATATTTGGTGTACATTATGGTTTACATAATCAGTTTGTAGAAAGGTCACTTTTCGTTCCCTATATTTTCAGTATATCTATATTTTCAGTATATACCATCCACCTGTCAGTATATCTATGGTGGAGCAATTTTCCTAGGCCAAGAAATGCTTTTTCACTTGTTTATATTAATATATATTTGACTATGTAGATTTTATAAATTATAAGACATTCTGATGATATATATTTCACATGACATGTTATATATAAAAATTTTTTACAAATATATATCTTAGTTACGCCTTTTTGCATTACATACATATGTAAAATAAAATCCTCAAATATTTGTACGAACGGAAAAAAAATATTAGAAATCCTAGTCGGAAAATTTATTGCTCAACATTACTCCAAGTTGGTATATTTTCTCTTTTTTTTGAATACCAATGCAAACAAAAATTTATGGTCTTAAATGGTTGAAGAATTTCTTTTTTCATTTGGTGTACCGCTCCAAATATTTCCTAAAATATTTTTTTCTCGTATTTAGTCTTAAGGTGATGTAACTATTCTTACATTTATTTGTCTTCAAGATGTTGTATAAAATGTTTTTTTTTCGGTTTTCAAAGTCAGTCTCAATGTCTATTTGTCTGTGTTCGGATGTGTGTGTGTGTGGTGCGCATCAGTTGCAATAGTTGTAAATCATGAGACAAATGGAGTATAAAATATAGATTCTATTGTATAACATATTTCATGTTAAGTACTTAATAATGTTATGGTATGTTTTCCATACCCCTCTCCGCCCCAAATAGCCGTAACATAATTCGGGTATATAAGAGGATGGTTTGTGGAATGGTTTTGTGGAGTTGAGGAAACATTTAGTGTACCCCATAGAGATGTGATAGTGCAGAACAAATATTCAACTTGAGAATACTAGAATTTGTTGGCAAATCGTATGAGAAATGACATTCGGTAATAAATCTACAAATGGTTGTAAAATTATGTGTAGTACTGCGAGGAACATGCAATTGGAAAATTATTATTATTAAAAAATGAATTAATTTAAAAATGAAATCTATTAGGTTTGTATGGCTAAT